CCTTTTGTCGAGCAGTTAGGCCGCCTGAAAGAAGCTCTGTCGGTCAAAGACAACCTGGCCGAGGAATGGTCTTCTAAAGCCGCAAGTCTCCAGAGGTCCAACCAGAAGCTCGCAAGGCAGCTCGAAACGCACACATCGTCTGACAACAAGTAAGAGCTCGACAAAATCTTGCAGTTTTAATATTTGATTTTTGGATGTTACGATGACATTCATGGAGATGTGTAGCAAAAATTTTAATAGTGTCCATGTCAGGAATTTTGATCCGTGTTCACTTATTCATTTTACCATACTATTTTTCAATTGGCTCTATTCATCCTATATTATTAATCCCATATTTATATCATTGATAATGAGAAGTTGGTCGGTAAAACCGACCTGTAAGATAATAAACATTAAAGGTCCTGGATGTAATCAGTCAATGAGTAACTTGGCGGCGTAAATTTCGTCTTAATTTATTTTACTGAGTAACATCGAAATCAGTCATGAGAGTTTAACTCTTTTACTGTAATAGTCAATATGAGAATCCAATATCCGTCCAACCCAGTGAAAATTTACAGACGCGGCAGCTTTTGATTTGGATTACCAGAAGCTGGGGCGACTCTTAATTTTGTTAGGAATGTTTATTTGATATTCTTCTAAGTATCACCCTGGTATAAATAATTGAAATATTTGCTGTCCCCAGAATGCGAGAGCTGAGCCAAGAGAAGCTGCAGCTGGAGCAGCAGGTGCAGCGCGAGAGGAAGACGCTCGCTGCGCTCAGGGAAGACCTTGTCGCCGAGAAGGTAATACCGAAATTATTATTTAATATTTGCTAAAATAATAATTAAATACTTGTGAAGATAATAATTAAATACTTGATGAAAGAATAATTGAATACTTGTTAAATAATACTTAAATACTTGTTCAAATAATAATTAAATACTTGTTAAAATAATAATTAAATACTTGTGAAAATAATAATTAAATACTTGTTGAAATAATTATTAAATAATCAGAAGAATTGCCGCAACCATATTCGTTGCTAGAATACTTTTAAAAATTGATGTTCCATTAAGTAAATTTTACACTGATCATGCTCTTATGTATTTTTGAAGACAGCGTAGGGGCGATTACATTTATCAAGACCTCAATTACAACGATTGGTTTTAGTGATAAGTAAAAGTATACCTTTTCTTGTTGTCATAAATAACCTTGACTCTCCTCATAAGTATGTATGTCCCGATAGCTCGTGTAACATACTCGTAAACGATTACAGTTTACCCTGCAGTACAATATAATCATTTCAGATCAGTGGTTGGTGGACATTTTTCATGTGGTTATAATGGACCTCAAAAGTAGAAGCTGATTTCATTATGAACAAATTCCGCTGAATAGCAATGAAATGTATGATTTATTATTAAAGTGGAACCGTGTGATCGTTAATAATCGTGCTTTGCATTGAGTCCCCCAACCATCATTTGAGAATTTTTAGTAAATAGTGTCGTTTTAGATTCAAGTACATTATGTGTCTTATGAAATGAGGGTCAAGCAAAAATCTGAATTATGGCTCACATAAGGAAGGTAAAATTAGTATGAGAAATCTATAGTGTCACATGAGAATTAATGTAATCAATTGTGATAAGACAATCGGAATAACGATCTCACTAATTGTTGTTACATAACCGTTTCCAGCATCACCAACTTTAACAGAACGATAAAATGGCTCTATAATTTTGCACCCTCATTACAGTTACTAACGCTTGTCTGTTACTTTTCATGAAAGGAATATGAGAACATGAATTGTGCTTGCTATTTTTTGATCCCATAACATTTAATTTTAGTTTAGATATGGCCATTGGCAACACCTTAAATTTCTGATAAATCTTTTTTTTTTTTTTTTTGTATTGAGTGTATATACGCGCAGCAACGTATTAAATTTTTTATAAAATTATGTTTGTTTTTAGGACGCACGGAGCAATTTATTAAATTTTTTATTATTACGCGAACGAAGCAATGTATTAAATGTTCAATAATTGCTAGTTTGTCTACAGATTCACCCACTGCAACGCCCAAAATTTCCGATAATTGTTCGTTTATTTAATTTTAGGTGTAAATTTTAATCTAATTTTAGGTGTAAACTTTAATTAATTTAGGTGTAAACTTTAATTAATTGTAAGTGTAAACTTTAACTAATTTTAGGTGTAAATTTTAATTTAATTTTAGTTGTAAATTCAGCAAAGTGCAATTTTCTGAAGACAATTTTTTATTTTTTTCCATAGGTGCGCACGCAGCAGCTCAGCAACCAGCTGGAGAGCCTCACAGCAGACCTGGTCAAACTCGGTCTCAAAACCGACAACCTTAGCGCCCCTACCTCATCCGACGCGGCCTCTGAGTAAGTAGTACATCACTCTTGCCTTTGATCTTTCTATTCTAATTATTGTATCCCGTATGCAAACCGAAATTTTAAATATTTAAATATGAAAAATTAACACGCTTGTTCTTAGTAGCATCGCCTGCTAGAGACGAAATTATGTCATTCTCATTAATTGTTCATTAATGTTAATGTCCCTTTTACGCCGTATTGAACCGTTGCCTGATTAAAAAAATGCATTCTTAAAATTTCAACAATATAAATTTTAAAATTTTCACATGCTGCTAGAATATTTTTAATGCGTCAACTTCATTATTCAACCAGTAATTTAGCTAAATATCTACCTAACATACATAATTTAATTACTTATTGTTAATTTGTCAAACTAGATCGAGTTTGATCATTTACCGCGATTTGAGTTTCAAGATTGTCTTCCTGTATACTCTATGTATAATTTGCGACCTTCTTTCTGATTTATACGCCCATCGATTTTTTTTAGTTTTAGTGCTGTGAAGCAACATTCGCGCAAGCTTAATGGCGTACAGAAGAACCAATTTCGGAGCACATCCTTGCGTGAAATCTGAATAATTATTTAATCATTACACGCATTCTGACTGATTCTAGCTTAACTTAAAACCGTTCAAGTTATGAAAATTAATAATGTTACATATTATGAATGTTAGTAGTAGAAGTAAAGTTTTCTACAAATTTTCGTTATTTTTTTACAAATTTGCGGTAAGGTAATGTTAATTTTTATATTTTTCAAAATATAATAATTATATTATAATTTT